TCGCAGCGTACGTTATACGAGGCACCACTGTATTTTTAATAATCAGATTCATATCTATTGTGACATTTGTAAAAAGAAATTTAGAAGAAAAATCGAATTCCAAAATGATCAAAAGTTGCTCATATGCCCAGTCATTATTTCTATATGGTTTATATTTTATTTTAAATATCTAATTAGGAATAATGTAAATCTAAAAGAATAAATCTAACCCAAACATTTGTGACGTCAGGTAGATTGGCGGCTAATTAGAGAACGATTCCGTATCTGTAGTTCTGTTTTTTATCACGAGATATCGCTACTTCGTGACGTCAAGAAGCTGGACAAGCATAATTCTAATTTACGATCGGTCAATTTGACGTCACTGAATCACTTGACGGAACGCAATCGGTGTAAATACAGAACAGTCAGAATTAATTTATATTACAAACAAAATTTGCTATTGTTCGTTTCTTATACGGCAAATTTGTCTTTTGTCTAATATTTAATGTTTATATTGTAGCTTTAAAAGATGAGTATTGTTCATTACTTTTGTCAAAATATTTAAAATTATACAGTATATTATGAATGTTATTCTATAGAATATATAGACTTTCGTTCTTAAATTCTTTTAATCTCAAGATTTTTCTTCTGAATTTTCAATCTCTTACTAGAATTTTTTTTGTATTATTTAATAAAATTATTTATTGCTTTTTAGAAATAATTTAAACGTTTTATATTACAAAATTTGCAATATTTTATTTTACAATTAACGTTTTTCTTTGAAATGTTCCATAAAACCAAACTCAATTTTCTCCATAGGCATCCTTATTTGGTGTTCACGAGATTTTAAAAAACCTAACCCTGGTGAATATCAAGAGTTAAGTGTATCTTGTGTAATTTGAGTAAAGTCTCTTGAATTGGTAGTTTAAATTCATCAACAAATTATAATCGTCAGTAAGATATTAGTGAATTTTTTCTAGTCTTATTTAACAGATCTGCAATGATTTATTTGAACGTTAGCTATGNTTTTTACATGATTTTGAAATAATGCAGTTGACAAAAGAAAACTAACCCTCTTTTTACATGATTGATTTCTTTTTATACGGAGGAGAAAAAACTGTTTATTTGAAAATTTTTAATTTTAACTTTTTGTTAAAATTGTGTTATTAAAAACTTACTCTTTTTGTTGAAATCAAGTTCATTTATCTTTTTTAAGCATGGTACAATACTATATGTACATCAAAGAATACTTACTCTATGTTGATTTTGTTTCCTATGCTACCTTGTGTTTACTATTTTTATGAACAAATAATGTTAATGATGGATGTTAGAATAAAAAAAGCTCATGTTTCTTTTATGAATTGCTTATTTTTTCATTCCACTGAAGTTGTAGATCCTGACAAGCATTTTTCTACAGGATGCAAATACTGTACTTTTTTACACAATTTTTGTTTTATGCAGAGTTCTTTGGGACACATCCACCATGCAAAAAGAGGGATAGGTGTATATTTCACTGATAACTGGAAATCCTAACTGATGATATTTTAACAAAACACAAAACATATTATTAAATAAGTGAAAAATAAATAAAATTTAGAAACTTAGAACATTTAAAAGACACATTAATCATCAATATCAATATACAAACAATAAGGTATTAAATGATTTTCTTCATATAATAAATAAATTTACAGTTAGATTTCCATGTTACAAAGTTCTGGAAATGGCTTCCATCAGTAAGAAAACATTCTGGATGAAAATTTTGATTATTTAGATAAAGTTAGAATTGTTTGTTTAAAATACAACAACTTTTATTTAAAAAAAATAAAGGTTAAGCGTACTATTTTTTAACATAAATACATATGAATACTTATTATTTCAAGCATATAGCTCTTTCTCAATTTCAATAAATATATAGTAATGTCTTATGATGATTTTTTCATGTAAAATGCATGCACATAATTTATTATGTTATTAATAAGAGTACAAAGGTCTTTTTGTTGATATAAAGTATCATTTCAGTGCACTATTTTCTTTTCATGACTACTACATTTTCCATTTGACAAATTTTCTATATATAATGAACTCTGTATTTCTGAAAAGCAAGTCATTATACAGAAGTTTAATTGTATATAAAAGTTATTTCTAAAGATTCTTTTAAGTATTTTAAGCAAGCAAATACAAACTTTTATACTTTTTCCAGATATCAGCAATTTATAAATTATATACAAATTAAATTTCATCATCAATATGCTATTCATTTTTAATAAA